GTTTTGAGGCAATTTCTAGGTTTGCAAAATTAAAACTTTTATGAAGAATTTCAATTTCTTTATTTCCGATTTATTTTTGTCTATAAGATTTAGTTATTTTTTAATACATCTTGTCTTATGGGCACATAGTCGGATTACATTATACATTTAATGATTATTTTTGAGAAATGTGGTGCGGTGATGAAGTCTTTAATTAGGACTAGAGTTTCTGATCTCTGGGTTTTTACACCCAGAAGTTGAAGACTAACCCTTGGCTGTCTGAGCACCTATTAAGTTAAGAGGAGGTTTTAGTGTAAAGTAAATTTGGATATAGGAGTGAAGGTATTTGTGAGTTGTGACGTTTTTTAATAGGATTGAAACAGTTTATTGTGATTTTTTTTGCTTGCCTCCATCTATCTCTTGGACACTTTTTTCTTTACCAAACCATCATCAGTTTTTGGTATGTGCATTCAGTTGCTTCATGGTTTTGCGAATTTGTTCATACTACCTTAGGAATAAACCATGATTTTATACAAAATTGGGCCAACTATGGCTGGAAAATCACCACCTTTATTATGCTTGAAGAAGTTTAATATCCATTTGCAAACCTTGACACAGTTCTAAAGGACATTTAGTTAAAAATGTAATACTTTGTAAATAACTTTCTTTATGAAGTATATATGAAATGTTAATAACTACTGTATGTCTGTATTTGGACGAAACTTACACTACGTGGGGAATATGAATTAGTCTGTGTGTTATGCTCACTTAATACAAATCAATAAAACACTACTGTGAAAGACTGCATCATGGTTGATTTTAACATAGGTGCAAATCATCAATTTTTGCATATTCAAGTCTCTATATGTATGAGAACTCAGATTTGCTGAATAGAACTTTTATGTTTTGGCTACTGTCAGTATGTGAACTCAGATTTGCTGAATAGAACTCAGATTTCTCTAAGGCTATATGCTTGTGCTGTGATCTTAGACAGTTTCATATATCCGTGTATCGTTAACTTATATGATTTTTGCAGGTCTTTATCTTTCCTTTCATCCATTCTGTCAGCCATTACTTCAATCATTCACCGTGAGTTTACAGGTACGTACCAATGGAACTTACTAGCATTCTGC